CACTACATTTTTTCTTCCTTGAGATGGACACATCATCTTCCACAATTATGAACCCCACGACAACCTATGCCATGAAAATATTGTAGTAGCAAAGTCAAGTCATTGGACTTATCTTTCATACAAATAAATATCCATTACATTTTTTTTATTCCTTGAGATGATTTTTTCATAGTTTTAATTCTTCATTTTAAGGGCTAAGTTAGTGCTTGTTTGTTCCCCATTATTTATGAGTAATGTATTATGAAATAATGATTGATGTTGAAATGTGCGGTTAAAAAAGAAAGAAATTTTTTTGATTTACGTGTAATATTATTTTAATGAATAATGTGTGGTTGAAAAAAATTATGTAATAAAATAAGGAATAATGATAGACAAACAAAGCCTTAGATAAAGAAATTGTAATTGACGCTAAAATAGGGTGATTTAACTTAAACATTCAAATGTACTTTCTGCAACATCAGATGTCAAAACAACACAGTGTTAGACTTTAAAAGCCATAAATATGATGCGCAGCAAGGTGTAACTTCAAACTAACTGTATAATTTTTAGAATTTGTCTAGTGATACATAATGAGATGTACCAAATGGTGTACACCTTACTCACATGGATATGGGACCCATGTGAAAGAAATGATATTTTATTCGAGTGGGTCCCTCACCCATGTGAGTAGGGTGTACACCATTAGGTACACCCCGATGTATCACTAGCAAAACCGTAATTTTTATTCTGGTATTTGGGTCAAGAATTAATGAAATAAACAAAATTCAAACCACCTAAACAATTTGTTCTTTTGGGATTGAATATATATATATTTTTTTTAATTAATTTATTATTATTATTTATTTATTCATTTATTTTTTAGCTAAGCCACTGTACACAAGGCGACTTCTTTTATATTAAAAGGAACTAAAGCAAAATACAAGTGAAACTGTAGTAAATGACATACAAAGTAGAAAAAATTAATTAGTACTAGACTGGTAACTTTAAAGATGAAAAGCCAGCACTACATCTTATATGTATCTTATATGTTCTTTTCTTGCTTTGCTTCATCAATCGTGTTCCATACTTCATAGGCTCGTCATAACTGTCTGCTATGTCGTCATATGATGGATTTCTTTAAGTTGTATAAATGGCTTATATGCAATTCTAAACACTTCTATTAAGCTAATATGCACTAAGCTACAATTCAAATCAAGTGTTCTTAGTAAACACAGAAACCTTTTTTTGTATAAAATGAAAATTCAAGCTATATTTGGACTTACATAAGATCAAACCACTAAGGATTATAAAGTTTTAAGTTAGATTAGATGCACATTCTAGCTACTTCTATTTTCTTAAAATATCTTAGTTTTATAAAAATTAATGAAGATAAAGAAAATAACTGCATTTTACTAACTATTTCTTTTAGGCCCTGTTTGATATGCCATTCTTTTCCATGGAAAATGGAAATTAAATTTCATTTCTCACTTTTTGGCATGTTTGATGGTAGAATTTTCCATGGAAATGATTTTTCCTAAACTCTTGAAACATCAGCTTTTTTTTTCTTTTTCTTTTTTTTCTAAGGCAATTGAAACAAATTCTAGGAATAATTGTAAAAGAAAATATCCCTTAATTTGATAATTTTCATGTAAAATAAAGTCAAACGAACACTAAATGATAAATGATTTTTTGGATATTTTTTGCTTATTTTTTTATTATTTTTGGCAATGGGAATAAGTTCTAGAAACAATTGTAAAAGATGATATCTCTAAAATTGATAAATTCCATAAAAAAAACAAAGTCAAACGAACACCAAACGATACTTTAATTTCAACATTTTTCAGGTGGAAAATTATATCAATCAAATATTATTAATTGACAATTTTCAGTAAAACAATTTCTAGACAATTCAATTCCTTGGAATTCGTTTTCTTTGCACCCAAATTTCATCTTTGCAATCAAACAGACCTTTAGATCATTTGCAAGAAAGGAACATCTACTCATTGAAGTTTCCACAATTTCCACAATGAAGAAACAAAAAAATCTCATCATCTAGTGGATCAGTCATTATCACATGATCGGTTGTTACCCCCCTCACCCCTTCAACGGGATATTACCAGCTCCAGTTTAATAGTCAAGAAAATTGTGTTTAATTTTTGGAAAGAAGTGAAGTCCACAATAAAGCAATGAGTAAGACTGACTTAGTATAAAACCCCAAATAACTCTTGACATAAATCAGATCTTAAACTTTTCTTGCTGGAAAATTTTTATTTCATATTAATACAAGTACATATATCAATCCTCGTATTTCAGGCTCCCTCCAAGCAAGTTGTTTATGCACTTTAATTAGCCATGGAAAAGAATGTGATCTTTACGTTGCTAGCGATGCTTTACTTGCTTATGTGTGTTGTTGCATCTGTTGTTACTTCTACAGATGAGTATGCTCTTCTGGCCTTGAAATCTCTAATAACTTCTAATTCAAATGAAATCTTAGCTAAGAATTGGTCACAAGGAGCCTCTTACTGCAATTGGATTGGTATTACTTGTGGTGGGAGACATCAAAGAGTTAGACGCTTAAATATAGCAAATATGGGTCTACGAGGTACTATTGCGAAAGAAATCGGTCAACTCTCTTGCTTGAGATCTTTGAATATTAGCAACAACAGTTTCCACGGATTTATCCCTAATGAAGTGGGTAATTTGAGCCAACTTCGAGAAATAGAAATGCAGTACAATGAGTTAAACGGCTCTATTCCAACAAGTTTTGGATTTCTTAAAAATCTAAACAGTTTAAATCTCTTCCAAAACCGACTCAGTGGGGATATTCCTAACAGGATTTTCAACCTCTCTTACTTGGTGGAAATTAGTTTTGGAAACAATAGTCTATCTGTGAATCTTCCCATAGATATTTGTAACAACCTTCCGAAGCTAGAGACGCTGAGAATTTCTTGGAATCAAATAAGTGGAAACATTCCTCCAAGCCTGGGAAAGTGCACGAATCTTAAACTACTTTCTTTGTCATATAACTTTTTTACTGGAGGCATTCCAATGGAAATTGGGAACATGTCAAAGCTTCAATATCTCCGTCTAGGAATGAATAATTTGACAGGTGTGTTTAAATTATTGGTCATGTACATACATCTCCCAATACACTGGATAATATTTTCCAGAAGTTTGTGAAAATGGATAAATATATTGTTGTTCCTTTACATCATAAATATTTCTTACACGCATAGTGCAAAGCAACTTGGTGTCCATGGAATGTCCTTTCATATAGCTACACCATAAGATACGTATGTACACTGTTAGCTAGATGTGGAAGCTATGTGATTATAAAATTTATAGTTTTACGGATTTTTTTATTTTTATTTTTATTTTTTATTTTTTATTTTTTGGGAGCCAGAGAGTAGCTACAACTCTCCCTCCATGTTTTACCATTTTAAGATCACTGCACTTGTTATTTTGAGAATTCTTTACATGAGTTGCAACAAGACACCATGTTTTATTCATATTATGATCAGTTATGATTTCAGTTGCTTCAATCTTATCCTCTTTGCATAGGCAACAATGGAAAATTCTAGATGTGTTCTGCAAAGAATCATTCAAACTTTCTATTTCGATATTCAAGTCTTGATGGTTTTCTAAATGTTGTCTTTTAGTTTCTAATGTAGAGACTCCAATTTTCCGTGTTCAACACTTCTTCCAAAGCCGTCTTTAATGTGGTAATCTTCAACATATTCCAATGTCATCGTGTGCGATTAGTACTTAGGATGAGGCAAGGCTGCCTATGCGCTTGCCTTTACTACCTCCCTTGCCTTGAAGTAGATCTCCTATCTGTATTAGATTGCAAATTACTTGGACTTTTAACGTAAGCCTCGCCCCCCGCCCAATCTTGCAGAAACTCGAATGGCCCATAAATTGTTACACGAAAAAGCGTTTAGATCCTCAAGCAATAGTGTGTAGAATTAAAGCTTATGTCATGCTCTTAAAGAAAATGCATGTTCCTTATGCAGTTCTGAATAGGACTTGACGCCATTGTCAAATAACAATCTGTCAAACTTTTATTGAACAACTCTGGCTTAATCCAAGTTAACCCCTTCTTTTTCAATCCATTGGGAGTAAAAGGCAACTTAGTAACTTTTCTTGGGTGTGTGTGGGAATTATGTGATTATAACCCATGTTTTGCAGGGGGTTTGCCTTCAACCATCTTCAATATCTCCTCTTTACTGGAATTGTCACTGGAATTCAATCAAATTTCTGGAAAGTTTCCCAAAGACCCATGCAACAAACCTGCAATGCTTGAGTACTTAGATCTTCGATACAACAAATTTCATGGGGAGATACTTACAAGTCTATTTCAATGTCATGCACTTCAAAATCTTTCTACCGAAGGCAATGAATTTACAGGAAGTATTCCAAATGAAATTGGAAACTTATCGGCACTTCAATGGTTAAGTTTGGATGAGAATGGTTTCAGTGGTAAGTACTTATATCTGTCTCTTAGTCGCCTAAGCTTATTTTATATATTCAATGTATTTCTATTTATTAATTATTTAAACAAACAAAGTAGTTACCATTCCAATTTCAATTGGCAAATTTTTAAATTTGGAGAGAATTAAGAGATTCAATCCCAACGAAACTGGACATCTATCGAGTTTAAAATGGTTAAATCTTTATTAAGAAATATATAAAGATATTTATACTTGATGGAAAATTTAAAAGATCTTTAGGTGACCAGTTAGGGATTTTACACCTTTTCGCTAAATGTGTTTTAGCAAGTATAGCATTTTTCAATGAATTATTATATTTAAATCATGGTAAAATCAAATTCTACCCCCCCCCCCCCCCCCCCTCCCACTTTTTTTTTTATTCC